GTTTTTACAGCAGGACAAAGTGGAGACTTGAACCTGGCCTTACACTACCGTCGTTGTGTAGCATCTTGAGGAACCCAAGTCTCCCACCTTCCTTCCAATTCACTCTGGAAAGATCCACACTAAAAATTAGGAAGATTAACATAAGCCCCCTTTTAGCAACATTATGCCTTGAGGCATTACCCACAGCAAAGGAAGATAGTCAGGGACCACATAAGCAACCTGGCGTACACCAGACTACAGAATAAGGCAGGATGGACCTGAGGGTGCTGAGGGAGCTGGTGAATATCTTTGTGAGGCCACTCTTCTCATCTCTGAAGAGTCATGGTGCCTGGGGGAGGATCCTGGACGTCTTCTTAAAGAAGGGCAAGAAAGATCTGAGCAACTAGTCTGGTCATTGTCATCGCAGTACCTTGGAAGATTATGGAACAAATTCCTAGAACCTATGTCTAGGCATACGAAGGGCAAAAAGGTGACTGGGAAGAGTCAGCACAGATTTACCCAAGGTAGACTGTGCCTGACAAACCTGATTGCCTTCTATGATGACTTGTTCTGTGGATGGGGGAGAGCAGTGAATGCTGCTTGCCTTGACTCGAGCAAGGCTTTCCCCACAGGATCCTTATAGATAAATTAGTGAGAAATGGACTCTGGGCAATAAGGTGCCTGGAAAATTAGCTGGACTGCCAGGTTGTGATCAACAGTTCAGTCTGACTACTAGACTAGCCAGTTAATATCAGTGCTTCTCAGGGGTGATTCTGCGGCCAGTACTATTTTAACATCTATATTAATGACTTTCACAATGAGATGGAGGCACCCTTATCAAATTCATGCACAGTATCAAACTGAAGGAAGCAGTTGCTATGCTGCAGGATAGAGTTGCCAATCACGCTGCCCTTGGCAGGCTGGAGAAACAGGCTGATGGAAACCTTGTGACATTCAATTAAAAACAAATGCAAAATTCTACATCTTGGACAGAATAAACCCACAGAGGAGAATAGGTTGGGGGCTGACTAGACAGAAAGCAGCTTTGCAGAAAAGGTCTGGGAATCCTAGCGGCCAAGAAGCTGAACAGGATTAAGGAGTCTACCTGCGAAGGCAGCCAGCTGCATTCTAGGTTGTACTAGCAAGAAATGCAGAAGCAGGTCAGGTGAAGTGATTCTTCCCCTCTATTTGCCACTTCTGAAACCACAGGGGGAGTACCATGACCATTTTTGGTTCTGTGACCACAGAAGGATGGAGGGTATTGGGAAAACAAAGGCAGACTTTTCTGAGGTGCACAGTGAGGATGAGAGTTACAAAACTGAAAACTCCAGACAGACATTAGGAAGAAGTTCCTTCCCCCATAAGAGTGTTCAAATGCTGGGGAAAGCGATTAGAGAGACTGTAGGATCTCCATCCTCGGATATTCAAAACTCAGCCGGACAGCATCCAGAACAACCTGATCTAATTGGACCTGCTATGAGCAGCAGGTTGATAATGTTAAGAGGTCCCTTCAACCCTAAGTCTGTATGATACTAATATTATGATACCACACAAGAGCCTTCAGTAAACATGCTTTCTCCTCCCTCCCTCACTGGACTAGAGGAATCATTGATTGGACCCACCAGGAACTAAAAGCACCAGGAACAGACAAATGGCATGTCCAATAGCAGCGCTCACAAGGTCTTCCTACTCCTCCTCCCAAATGCCGCAAGATCACAAAATCCCGCAGCTCACCAAAGGGCTTTGGTGGGATTCCAATTAGCATGAAGTCACACAGTCCAAATCTTCTACATATCTCAGCAAACCTGAGCAGTCTCATGACTGCTCTTAGCTTGTGCTCTCACTGAGCTTCTGCTCAAAGGCAGAACTTGCCTCCGAGGTCCTTACAAATTCTCGGCATTTTTTCATCACATGCAAGAGCAGACTCAATATAATTATGCAAGTAGCTTAGACAATAGCATCTTTTATTGTAGGAGAAAAGACTAAGGGAAGATTTTTTATGGCTTAGGAGTTTATAGGAAATCAGAATGAGAGGCACTGATTGTGGTTCGATTGTTGCAAGTCGGTGACATCCTTTCTAAGAAACATATGTAAGCACACCGAGTTAGTCTTGTTTCACAAATTTAAACTAAATCTTGAAGATGGCCTTATAGATTGCACTGGTTACCATGAGTGCCTGTCACTGACTGGGTTCCACTAGGACCAAAACAAATCTTGACCTTGCAATAACTAAAATGATCAGCAAAACCTCTCTGCTTGAACTACTACTTTTGCACCTTGGATTGGTGGGTTTTCAACTGCTATCCAGAACCTTCTGGGTCCATAAATTACAAGGATCTAAGTGAAAGGAAATTATGAAAAGCAATTTTATTAGCAGGAAACTTAAGTTCACTACACTAGAAAAATATCAAAGCACTTAAAGTTTGAAAACCACTGCCTTGGAGAAAAAAAGTAAAAGTTTCACCTTTAATGAGATGTTAGTGCATTCCACTTTCCAGATCTTCATGTACTTCCACAATAACATGATGTTTACATTGGAAAAATGTAAATTCTGAACTTTTGAAATTTTGTACTGGTCCTACAGAGCAGGGTTTTTTTTTTTTTTTACAAAGTCTAAGCTGGGACCTAATTTCTTTTTTTCACATTTGAGTTTTTTCAGGACCTGTGCTAACATCCTGGATTATAAATTCTTCAGAACAAGGTTCCCATATCTGACAAGTGCCTTGCACTGCAAGACAATTACTACTGTAACATTACAGAACTCGAGCATATTGTATCCTGCTTGAAATTTAAATGTTAGCATATGACTCAAATACAATAACATCTGAAATACTCAGGTACGAGAAGTGAAGCTTTTCCCATTAAAGTCCAGGAAAACAAAACAGTGGAACAAAGCCTGTGTTGTGCCCTCCTTCACACCATCTTCCCTTCTCCTTCCACGGCAGTCAGACTGACTTACTAAAGAGCACATAAGTAAAACAAGCAGCATAGGTGCTAGAAGGATTATGAAATTACTTGGCTTTGCATTCCAGCTTGATTTTAGAAGGTGGGGAAAAAATCACTGCAAGACACTGAAATAGCATTGTACAGACTTAAGAGGTATTTGCCATTTATTTTTTCTGTAATTGGGAAATAAGGGTAGCAGAAGGCCTGGTCTTAATGCAGATTCGAATACTGATGCAAATCCAGCAAAGGAGACTCTAAGAAGTGACTGAAAACAACAAGCATGTTTGTGCCAACCCACTCAGTTGATTAACTCAGCATTTATAACACCAACTCTCCTTGGAAATAAAAAGTGCATTAGGCGAACAATTCTAACTCCAAACAGCTAACAATCACAGCTACTGTGAGTAGATTCAGCAAATATATAAGCGTATTAGTGGACTGCACTTAAAATTTTTACTTTTACTGTCTAGATTCCATCTGATAATTTACAGCCTCCTTCTGTAATTACAAAATAAAGTTAGGAAAACAGCAGCCCAGATCAAAACTACAGGGTTCATGTTAGTGCACTGAATCTCAGTTAATGACAAAAAAGCAGCTTTACTGTGGCCCTTCAGTAGGCCCTTAATAAAGGAAGTGTCAGAAGGCTAATTGTGAAGACCCATTTTCTTATTCTTGTTTCAACATTAACAGTAAATTTCTTTCCAAGTATATCATATGTGGTATCGCTGGTGTGTCACAATAACTTTCTGCTCTTTATTCTTAGGTATGGGGATTTATACGTTTGCGGTTTTTAAATTTCATAGATGGGAGTCAGTAACAAGCTTTTTAGTTTTTACAGGCAAATAAAAATGCTTGCCAGGGGTTTCTGACTTAAAATTCTGAACAGCAGATTGATGTAGGCCTCTTGATCATTCTTACCATGTTTTTACCAAGTTACAGTATAAAATAGCTGTTCTACTAATTGCGTAGGGATTTGCATCCCGTATCCAGATAGACTACTAAAGCTGCCTTCATTTTCCCTTTGATCTTGCATATTCTACTGCTTGAAGGAATACAGACAGGTGATGGAAAATGCTGGGATTGTTGCAAGTACAACTGCTTAAAGACCAATTAACAACAAAAAAACCAAAATGAACAAGAAGCCAAAGTGGAACTAAACCCACAACAGCTGCCGGTCATCAAGGCAGTTTTCCCAGTGGGCAAGAGACTGTTACTAATAGGATGGAAATACAAAATTTGCTGAGACCAGCTGTAACCACTGATGAGTTATACATTGAGAAGTGTCTCATTTCTCACATTTTCTGTAGGACAGCAGTCATTGTGAAAAAAAGCAGGAACTGAAATGTAGTTCTGCTAACAATTAGTACAAGGAGCTGATTTTACAGTAGTGCTATTTTTGTCATATTTTCAAAATAACTTTCACTGATTTCACCCATAGAAATAAGTTATTCCTCAAAGTCTAACCAATGTAGTATAATTTGTTAGGGATGGCCCACCTGAAATTCTCTTACATTTTAAACAGTTTAATTATTGTAGAATCCTGATACTAGAACCCTCAACAGAAGATTAACCCAACTTTTACGTTCCCTCTTTACAACAGCAGAGGTACTGACATGTTTCAGTCATATTATATAAACTTATATTCATCTATTAACAAAAAAATGTATGCTGTTGCTGCAAGAGACAAATATTTCTTGTTTCTAACCAGTGAATTAGTCTCAAATTCAAATACAGAGTAAATGTAACTTCAGAGCTGGGAACATGTTTGTGTGTAAGGAGTACAGCCCACTGCTTTCACAGCGGTAACTATACCTATTAAAACCATAGCAACATTGAGCAGATATATGCGCAAAAGCCATTCTTTTCTTTGACACAGTACTGAAAGAATGGTCAATATCCACAGTTTGGAGACACTGAAAAGTCAGGACAGTCTGCACTATCTAAACTATCGCTAAATAATATATACTGAGAATTAAAAAAAAGACATTTTTATTCAGTGATGATTCATTTCCAACTCATCCATACAAATCAAGAAGTGAGGGACTCCAAGAACAAAGAAGAACTGTTCAAAAGCATTAGCATAAGTTACCACACATTTATTGATTTTTAAAGCAGGTAATGCAACATTGGCAAATGGAACAATTTGTCATTCTGCCTGAGCATTTCTTTTAAATGTGGTTCTTTCAGTGTCTTGGTGACGGTCTTCCAGAAGATGGCTGAGGCTGCCTGAATTTTGAGAGAACCACATCAGAATCCACAAAGGTATAAATACCATATTCATGATGCTGAAGGTTCTTGTACGTAGAATTATCAAATTCCTCTGGAGCAGGCTGAGCAGCTGTTGTGGTCTCTGAAAAACAAACAAACAGTGACTGGTGACTCTAAGATAGCAATATTCTTAATTGCTGAGTCAGCCTTCATGTACTTGTAGATCCCTCATCCAATCAACACTTTACAAAAAAAAAAAAAGTCAGCAACTATAACCTAAGGACAAGTTTACTAAATTCTGCTGGTATCTTGTGTGGTCCTGAAGAAGCACGTCAGTATGCAGCAAGGGAGCAGAAATCAGTACAAGTCATGTACTACAGCATGGGTTTTCAAATCAAAACTACAGCTAACACTGAGGGAGGAGAGGGCAGGACATTTCATTTATACTTTGAAGAAGTAAGCCTGCATTCCCTGGCTTTTTCATAGTTGCCTTGGTTTTCACTTTGGCTGGAACTGTAGGTAACATTCTCAGCAAGCCAGGAGCGGCAAAGAAGCAGTACAAATGATGTATCATCTTGTCAGACCACAAGATACAGCAATTAGAAATACTTTATAAATTGATTTTTTCCATAGGGAGAAGCGATGGAATTACTGAGATATTCAGTTTAATTTCAAATGTAGTTATATTGAACAGCAATATATCAAGAGCCTTTGAGGTAAATTTCCCTTCCTTGTTTAAAAGCTCATTCTAATACAATCTTTTAAACTTTATAGCAGCCACTCTTCCTAAGAGAATAACCCTAATAAAGTTATTCAGAACTTCTTACTTCACATTAAGGCCAACACTAATTCTTACACTTTTAGAATATTACGCAAATTCAGGCAGTACCATTTACATGACTATGGGCTGACTTTACTACCAAGTAAATTGCAAGAAACAAAGCTTTATTTCCAATATTAATTTATTCCCATGTACCCAGAGTTATAAAAATAGTAAAGTCATAAGCATAATATAGCAAAAAGCTTGTCATATGAATTTGTATGTGGTGATTTATACTAGATCCTATGAAAGTTTTTGTAATGTAGCAGTCTGCAATAAAAATACAAGAACTCAAGCAACAGAACGCTAGAATTTCCCCTTAATAATGCCATAATAATTACAGTGTAATACTATCGGTTTAAGAGCATGCATTCATAACATCTAGCAAGGCTCACTTACAAAATGCAATATAATAAGCCACGGTTTTGGAAAAATGACATGTTGAACCTATGAAAGGAAACATCCTCATGCCTACTGCTCGTTTCCTACTGAGACAGCTCATCGGAGACACCACTACATACATATCAACCAGATGAAATGGTCTTTGCTGCAAATAGCCTCAAGAACAAGCACACGTAAGAAAGCAAACATTCAACCTGCAAGACACGGTTGTTCCAAATTAAGAGGCAGATGCTCAGGAAGAAAAGCAGATGGAGTCTAATTTTTACTGCCCAAATACACTGTACTTGGCTTCGCAAAGGAAAGATTTATCCCTGAGTTCATTCCCCCCGTACTCCAGACTTCATCTGTGCTTTCTCTCTTAAAGAGCAAGAGTTTCACAGGATGTTCTTGAAAAATGAATCAGAGGTATATTTCTGAGTTGCCATGCTGCTATTGCACTACTTATTTAGCAGTTAAAGACAAATTCAATTTTTGCTGACTGCTTAGTAAGCCTGCTCTACAAAGTGGATGACACCGCCTTCACTTTCAGGTTTGTAATGGGAAAAATTGCCTTTATGTCTTTGGTACATCTGCTGCAGAGTTTTCAGATAAGCTAAATAACACAGGAACATAAGTGTAGAATACAGAAGAGATCATTAATGGTGAACATTAAACATGGAAAAGCAGCAGCTGTTCTCAAAAAAAGCCACTAAAGGAAGAGAGAACAAGATACCCCTGAAGATACCAGTGAAGCTGTTGAACATTTGAGTATAGCTAGGTTTCACTCTTCGCTACCCTCTGACACCCAGACATTTTCCTGGCAGTAGAGGGGTGTGAACTTGCCTGTACTAACTCCTTCTCCTCCCCTACAACCACTGCAGCAGAGTTCTCTAGCAGGCGTGTAGCACATACCTAGTGGAGATTTTCCTGCTGTCACACCTTTACCATCTCTACAGAGCAACTCAATAGCAAAAAAGCTCTTTTTGGCATATCTGGGTTTACCTAAAGGGTTTTGATGTGTGATTATGCTGATGATGGGTCTGGGGCACAGCGGTATTATCACCCCATTAATATAAATCTACTGGAAAAAATTGTCATATGGACTTAATCTTATTCTGGATTAACAGCATCAGAATAGCAGCTGCTGTTTCACAGACCTACAGAGTGTCATAACCTTCACCTTGAATCATTTTTAAGAGCAAGTCCTCCCTCCCTTTCTTATACTGGAAAGTAACTGAACTAATTCTTTTGGTCTTAGTATCAGCTCCAATGTGGAAAAAACCCTAATGCCTGAGCATCTAGAATACCGCTGTGGATAAAGAGGGAGAAAAGCATCATCTGTAAATAATCACAAAGAGTATTTCCCAATTTATTTTAAAAGCTTCCTCTGCTGACCATCAGGATGAGCAAGTAAATGGAAATGATACTTGTAAACAGTGCTGCATTTAACCATTTAAGTCGGGGCCAGGGAGGAAGGTAAGGTTGGCTTCCAGCTCTAAAATAGATCAAATTATGATCTGACTAACCCTTTAGAACAAAAGGCAGCTCTTTGGCTCCTCACTGTATCCTGGAAATTGATGTGCAAAAGTGATTGTTTGCCACTTAACCTGGTTAGACACTTAAAGAGTGATATCCACACAGCTTTACAAGTATGCTGCCTTTACATCCAAGTAGGCAAAATCTTTAATTCAAGGAAGCAACAAGAACAGTAGCCTTGAGAACGATATCCTGCCTAAGGGAGGAGTCAAGAACGGTAAGCCACCATAGATCAGGACAGAGAGGCACTTACTATTGAAATACACAGAATGAGAGCAGTAGGAACGCTGGGAGAAGGCTTGCACAGGACTATTTCTTTTCCCAACCATAAGCTAATAGGAGTGGTTGTAACTAAGACAGATAAGTTAGATCGGGAAATACAGCTAGGGAGATGATTATTTGGTCCATGATGATTTCCCGTAAGATAATATCACCATCTCCTCCCTAACTCACTGCAAAAACTGAGTTAAGAGGTCAACTTTCTGCTACTTCTATATATGACTCACAACACACCAGTCAATAAAACTAATCTCAAGATTTGGCAGAGATCACTGGATGTCTTCTATAGATTTCAAAAGAATTTTCAATAACCTCCAATTATTTCAGAATGGAAACAAACCTGTTTTCATTTGATAAATAATTACTGGTTTATGAAATAAGATACGATGAAATGAAGACTGCTTCCTTTGACAACATAACTGGGAACTGATTATTACACAGTTCTCAGAACAAGTAGCAAGAGACAAGAATTTCTCTTCCAGAGACCACTGCTACACTGTTAGCTTCAGTATAAAGATCAGAGAATCATGAGTACAGAAGATTTTGGACACCCTTTAGCGAAAGTTAAACCTTAGCCCAGATGAGTCAATACAGTTCAAACAATTTAAAGCTGTACCCTCTATTGTGCTTCTTTCTCCAGCTTGGACTCCTGCTTCCTGAATGATCTCATCCCTTGCTGTAGTGTGCGTCTCCAGCATTGTGCTTTCAGAAGTCTCCTCTTGTAGTTTAGGAATAGCTATTTCTTCCGCTTCAGACTCCTGTACCTCCTTTACCTTTTTTCCTTTCCCTCTGGACATCAGTTTTTGCTTTTTGTCTTCCTGAGTCACTGACAGAGCTTTCAGCTGAGTAGCTGCTGCTTGGCTTCCATTGGACTTTTCCCCCAAATAACTAGATTTAAGGGTGACATCTGTCAGATCTTGACTTTCATCCACGTGCGGTTCCAAGATCACCTTCTGATGACCTGTTTCTTTGGGAGTTGACTTTACGTTAGGGTCTCTTGCTTTGGGTTTTAATGTTTTATGATTGATTGAGGTCTTAGAAAACTTGACCTGCTTGATAGCGGAGACATCAGTTTCTACTCTGCACGGCTTCTTCTTAGCTACATATTCTTTGTGGTGTTTTGGGGGCAAATTCTCTTTTGGTAGCATCGATGCCTTTACTGTTACGTTCTCAGGAAAAAAAGAATCCCGTCTTGGAAACTCTACTCTGGTTTTAATGGCAATTTCTGGATCACTATCATCATCTTTCTCTTCTTCGGAATCTGAGCTAGAATCTGAATCTGAGCTGGATGAAGACATTTCTTCTTCAGCTAACTCTTTCCTCAAGTCTCCTCCTGTTGCAGTGACCTTTTCTTCCTCAAGGGAGGAAAGAATCACTCGCTGAGGAAACGCAACCACGGTTTTTCTTGACATGAATATCCTCAGATCTTCAACAGAAGGTTCTGAAGCTTCCTTGAGGTTAGTACTAGATATGCTTGTGGATGCTGGGGGAGAGCTAGAAGACAACATTTTAGGAAATTCAACTGTTGTTCTGGTGGCTAGCAGCTTGGTGCTTCCCTGTGGTGCCACTACATCTAGGAAATGGTATAAAGAGGATTATCATCATTATATTTGACATCCCTATTAATTAGTGTTCTTAGTTATACAACTCTAACTTTCTGACATGGTCTGGTACATAAAGCAAATTGAAAAATGTTATTATACTAAACAGAGGCATTATGAAACAGAAAGTTACATTTTTGTACAGATATTTTAAAAAAGCCAGAGCTCTAGTTAGCATTGAGCACCCTTGGCTGCTGCAATGCTGAAACTCATGAGATATGGCTTTTGCTCCTTGCTTTGCCAGACTCCTTTTGAGAGCTGTTTTTCTCTGTGACTCAATTCTGCAGCACTGGAACTGATTTACAAACATCTTCCTGTCTCAGGTGAACGTTAAGATAGCTTGTTACCTGACCTCTCCACATATGCTGCTACCGAAGCGTTTTAATGTCTGTGAACAAGCCAGCAAAGCAGAAGACCTAGCAAAGAGCCAATAGCCATAGCCAGCCTCTTGCAGTAGTTATCCTTGTAAGCGACAGGAAGGGATGACTCCCAAGGGCCAAGTACTAGAGCAAGAGACACCTGATGTTATACATGAAAGTATTACCTGTTCGCATGTCCATGAGGTCTATCACCTGAATTGTGTCTAACAGTTTAATGCAATTTCCCAAAGACCCTATCTCCTCTAGTCTTCAGCAACTGCACTTTGCATTTTTCCCTTGAGACCTACTCATTGAGAAGTCTTAGAAGATTTCCTCATGCTGCACACTAGCCTGCTTTTATTTCTTCTCCCTCATGGATACTTTCATTGAGATAAATTCTCCAGACAAGGAGCCATAGGTGAAGAGAAAGCAGCAACTTTCATACTCTTCCACAGACTATCAGATGCCCCTTGGATGCCCATGCCTATGGATATCCTCAATAGTAGAAGCTGATCAACAATGTATAATGTCATCATTAGAGAAGACAGGGGGACAAAAAAGACTAGGAGCACATTAAAAAGATGCATCACCACTGAATTTTGCTCCAGCAAGGCCAACCCTCATAAGGAGTTGTGCCACTTCAGTTTGCAGTGTAATTCAGCAGATTTCCAGTCTATAAGGTAGAGCTACACCTGCACAATTTGGAATCCCAGATCTATTTTAAAAGGCCATAAATTAGTTTTTCTCCTTACTGATATGCTATAGTAATATCTTATATAGCCTAAGGAGTTACTGTAAGTAGTTCTGGGCAGGAGCAAGTCTTTAGCAACGTCCAAATGAAAATATCACAGAAGAGTCAGAGATGCAAAGTCAGAAATAAGGCATTTAAGAGAGAAATGCAGAGTTCATAACAGAAAAAAGAATGAACCGAATATCAGTTTACTACGCAGGTAATACTTTTGAAGGATTTCAGATACTTATCTCCACCAGACTGTAGGTGCAAATAGTGGGGCCAGGGAACAAAAAGTCTATAGCATAAGAGCAAAATACAGCAGCAAGACTGAGAACTGCAAAATCTTAAAAGTAACATTAGAGCAATAGGGAGCCGCTTCCACAACCTGCCTTCCATTAACGAAGGAGTTTAGCAGATGCTGGGAACTCCCGACTTGAACAGAAGTAACATACTGCAAACGAGTAGCAACTTGCATTTTTGAGAAACAGCACCTTCGATTTTTTTTTTTTTTTTTTTTTCTAAAATAATTGAGGGGTAGGGGGGGGAGAGTCACTTTTGAAGGAAGCCCGACTTAGCAGCAAGACTGAGAACTGCAAAATCTTAAAAGTAACATTAGAGCAATAGGGAGCCGCTTCCACAACCTGCCTTCCATTAACGAAGGAGTTTAGCAGATGCTGGGAACTCCCGACTTGAACAGAAGTAACATACTGCAAACGAGTAGCAACTTGCATTTTTGAGAAACAGCACCTTCTATTTTTTTTTTTTTTTTTTTGCTACTAAATTAATTGAGGAGTAGGAGGGCGAGAGTCACTTTTGAAGGAAGCCCGACTTACTGCAGACTGGCACAGCCAAACACAGCAGCCTGTAGAAACTATATTTGAGGAAACATCACTCAAGACTGAAGAGTTCTTCAAAAAAGTGCACAGAAAGGCCAAACTCATGCGAGAATGCTCAAAGAGAGGGAAGACAAGGGAAACCTGAGCAAAAGCTGGAGAATTACTAATGCAAAGACATCCTAAGAAACCAAGAGGGCAGAGAGCATTCAATTTCAGCATTAACAGTAGATGTTGCTAAAAATAGTCTAAACAATAGTATTTGGATATGTGAAAGGGATCCATTTTTCAGCTTTTAAGTGGAAAATCTCATATTTTTGATACAGGCACTTTAATTGGACACAAAATAAAACAGCATGGCTGTGTTCTGTACAGCAAGTTTAACTAAGGTATTTCAAGCTTTGTACCACCTGAATTGTATTTGGCTATTACAAGACTGAACTGACTCTGCTAAAAGAGCAACACATCCAAATCAGTAACAAGAATGTTATTGCCAGATGCAACTTAGAATCGGGTTGTAACATTGGTATCATCACTGAGATGCCTTTAAAATGTGTTCACATTCAGAAATTTCAGGTCTGTTCCCCATTATTGATGTCATTAGTAAATACGATCACTTTACCAAAGCAAAGAAAATTTTCACACATTGCTCAAATTTGAAAAAATCTGGGTGCATCTTATACAGCTTAACTAAGCTTAATCATTTGCAGAGGGAGGAGGAAGAGCAGCTGGCTTAAAGAGGTAGCCTAATAGGTCTTTTGACACTTCTGAAAGCAGAGAGCTGCTGAGTAAAGAATCTAGAAACTGGTGCTTAAGTAGTGTGCTTGATGTTTTACCTCGACCACACTTAAAAATAATATATAAAATAAACTATAACAACTATTTGTTATTCAGTTAGGCTTATACTACACTACGCAACAAAAGCTTTCTGAACGGAACACCCAAGCTTTTATTTGCCTTGGTATTTAAGAAGCTAACATTAGAAGCCAAAGTTTGCGTTCAACCATTCTTTCAGAGATCTTTTCAATAGCTATCGACATGTCCGGTTACTCCTGTATATGGTCCCAGAAAGCTTTGCTGTTTAAGCACCTGGATCTCTAATTTGGGATAAGAATCTTAATCTTTGAATCAGCGAGCCGCTATTTACAAATAGCATTTTGCACATTATATCCCCCTCTAAAAGCTATATTTATATTTTGGTTTTGGTCAGGGAGAGAAGTGGTTCAAGTATCCCCAAACTTTGCACTTTAAAATCCAAACCCAGGTCAGCTTGCAAATCTAGGGGGCCACATAACTAAATTTAACCCAACAGAGCCGTAGTACTTTTCTGCCACTTCTCGACACTGCTGCTTGAAGCAGATATGACTATGTTGCAAATCTCTCTCTCTCTCCCTGTAAAATGGGCTGCCTTTTGACCCAGGTGATCCAAACATTTCAAGAGGCAAGATGGAACGTCTTATGCTCGAAACTAAGTTTTGCACCTCGTTACAAAAAGGCAATTTGCTACACTCACCTCCATCAAATTTCAGCAACTTGCGAAGCTACTTTCTATTGGGACAAGTGTAACAATGACCCTTCCTCAAGTTTGGTCAAGGACCAAAGTGGCTAGTGTATTAAGGTGCAGGGAAACAGGAAAAAAATGGCAAGCTTTACAGTGTGCCTTCGAATATAAAGATATTCCACGCACACCATTCCTACCAGATCTTTGGTTTTCACAGCCTTACTGTGCAGTTATGTTGGAACAGAAATCACTGTTTGGGGTGTGATGAACTTCCATTTTACTAGTTAGCTTAGAAGCTGTTCAGAGACATGGCCATACAGCATGGCTTGGAAAGTTTCTAGGCTCTTTTTGCTTATTTAACTATAACCGAAGCTACTTGAACTTCAGGTGAACCTCCTCAGGTTTGGCAGCCTTCAGGCTCAAAAGCCTTTTCAGCTCTGTACGTCATCCACAGGGCACAGAAAATCCTCCTAAAGCTCGTAAGCTGGGCTGGGAAGGCAGTTAGCTACCTCGCAGTTTAACAGGGGACAAGGGGGTTCCCCTACGAACGCTCGTCCACACGTTTTCCTTGGCGCACAACCTTTGACCGTGACGGAATAAAACAGCTTACGCGTTTGTGGCCGTGTCCGAGAGCCGCCCGGCTCGGTGCAGAGCGGCGCCGCCGCCGGGGCCGCGCCTCGGAGCCGCCGGGCCTCCCGCCGCAGCGCCTGCGGAGACAGCCAACGGCGGACCACCCACT